CATCAGTTCCTGGAACTGATGCGCCGTCGTCACGGCTACTGTTTGTAGCTGGAGTCCCTTCCATATCGGATGCATCAGTTCCTGGAACTGGTGCGTCGCTGTCACAGACCTTTTCTGTGGTTGAAGGTTCTTTCATATATGATGCATCAGTTCCCGGAACTGATGCGTCGTCGTCACAGACCTTTTCTGTGACCGAAAACGCTTCCATACTTAATGTATCGACTCTCTGAGTCGATATCCTCATTGAGGTAGGAACGTGTGTCAAATCTGATTTCTGATTTGGGACAGGCACAACGACTGTTGCAGTCGTTTCGACTTGTGTGTGGGTGCCGGAGACAACAGTGTTGGATGTTGTCTTTACGACGTGATCGAATACACGTCGTAAGATCTTCTACAAACACCCTGTATTTGTACGAGAAGCGCACGCGTACGACGCACTTCACGGCCTTTACGGTGGCACCTGTTGCCAACCGGACCTACAAAACACTTCGAGGTGTTTCAACCTCCTCGAAGTTCAGCATCGATAGACTTTCCAGTCGAACAAAGTTGTTCGACGCACCTGAGCCTACCAAAGGACGAAGAGAGCCTGCTCTCTCGATCTCACCTTCAGGACGACAAGGTTTGGCTTGGGGCTGCAGCCTTTATTGCCGCGTTGTAGACACGCGTGACTGTACTACCAGTAGGGCGCGGGTCGCCCTACTGGTTCCGCGCGTTTTTTTCATCGTACGCGGCGATACCCGGCATCGCCACGTCGGCCCCCGGCCAAGTGCACAATCGCTGTGCACTCACGCGCAAAGTGTCCGGTGTTGTCACATCGGTAACAACGTATCGGACCCCCAGTCGACCAACAGCCGAAGCATTTGAAAGGTCCATAGGCGCCGGACCTACCGCTCTCATTATCGGACGCGCCATCCTTGGCACGTTCGCATGCAGCTTAGCCTGCTTCAGGCTAAACCCCTCTTGCATTGCAGCAGCTTCGAGAGGACTAGGGTACTCTCGGAAGAGATAGGTTTAAGCAGGCCCATCCTTCAAGCCCTTCATGAACGTGACGACCTTAGTCGCCTCGTCGATCGGGTTGGTCACGATGTTCGAGACCAAATACCGCGCACGTTGGGCGTAACCATGAACGTCATGCTGACCTTGCCGCAGGTCGAGGAACCCCGCTCTCGACCGGAACTCATTCTGCGGGGGCTCAAACGCTTGTCTGAGCTCCTACTTAAACACCGCATACGTGCTAAAGCACGTATGATCTGTGAGCCGGCGACCATACGCCCAGCTCCTCGCTCGTCCGCCAAGACATGACATGGCGAACGCGACCTTCGACGGTTCGTCGACAATGCGACGAGCCGTGATGGCAGTGTCTACCTCGACAAGCCATCGGAGAAGAGGTTCTCCCTCTTTCCCCACATAACTGCTCACGTGCACTTTCAATGACTGCACGCGCGGTGTCGTCCCGGACGACGCCGTAGCAGCAGCAGCATCTCGCTGATCCTTCACAATAAACCCCAGATCAACACCGTGTTGCTCTGTCGGCGATAGCGTTCGTAGCATTGTTACTACGGCTGCCTCTCTCCAATGACTGTAGACAGTCTTTGGAGAGCTTCCCACTCTGGATCAGCCAGGTGGGGACAGTCTTCACGCGCAACATTCGTTGCAGACGCACTCGGCTACTCATGGACGGATTACCGTCCATGGGTTGGCTCTCCGCCCCGTGTTCGTATTCCATACGAACTCGTCAGATAGTCGGTCGTTGGACGGACTACAAAGTGCTACCAGGTGTATTGTGTGCCCATTACCTCGGCTTACACTCTAGCGCACGTGTATGAGGAAGCGTAGTTTGCTTAACTTAGATTAACTATACTTACGTCTCGTAAGTATAGATTTACTTAAATAAGAAAGCAAAAGCCGATTTACCGTAAAATTGAGAACTGTTATTTATGTTTATGTTTTATGTTTGGGTTTCCTCCTAAAGTGATATTCTAAATGAAAGGTATTTGCCAACGTGTGGTTGGCAGAATCCTGCTAAGCTAATTGGTTGAAAGAGATCGCCTTTCAACCAATAGGAAGTCTAAATGCACACAGACCAGTGGTCTGTCAAATGTAACCATTGGTGTATCTCACACCAATGTGAAACCCATTGTCGTAATCAAGTGGCTATATGTAGCCACTTGCGTGTAACTCCGTTACACGTGTGGCAAATGGAAAGCTAGAGCTGGGTCTGCTGGAATCCATTGAGAAGATGCGGAAGATGGCCCCACCTATGGAGCCGTAAGCTGCGAAAAGATCTGAAAAGGCCGTGGTTATCCGATTACGAAAGTGAGCACAGATGCTTGCGTTGAATTCGTTGGGGGGGAGGGGGGGGGGTCTGTGAGGTTGGCACTTAATGCGGCAATCGCTCTAGAAGAGTGCCTAGACGCAAGTGCAAATGATGAGCTTCTAGAGGCGCTCATGTTGTCAGTTACCGATGCAGGGAGAGTGATAACTGAAGAACATGGTCACCACTCTGATCAAAGAGAAGTACATCTCGAAGATATAAGATTGCTGTGGTAAATTTGGAGCGTGAGCTGCGTCGCGATCAAGTACCCGTAGCGGTGACAATGCTCGATGTACTTCAAGAACTCCATCTAATGTATCAAGAGAAGACGAAAACTCTTTATCGGAAGAATTGCTAGGCGTAATTGTAAAGTCGTGTGCAATGATGAACTAATTTCTATTATCTGCGTTAATATAACAGGAGCTGCCACCAACTTCGGAATTGCATCATGTCGAGTAACGAACCTGGAGAGCGCCAAGAATTTGAAGATGTGCCTCGGTGGCACACAAAGAAGAAATTCGCATGAAGTCTTGTTCAAATAATCAGTTCATAGTTAGCCTTTTACATATCTAAAGGGAAAAGAGCTTAAATTGTTCTGGAGGTTAAATGGGCTCTTTTTGTTATAGTAATAGGGGGTGTCAGACCTGGTCGTAATCCAAAAATAATCACATGCCATTTCCCTTTTTTGTGCTCAAATTTCGATCAACAACCACATCACAATCACGACACGGTTATGCTCACAAATTTGGATTATTTTTGAAGGTTCGACCCCCCCCCCCTAATAGCAGTATAATACTTCTTCCTTCCGACAACCAGGGATGGTCAAAGATACTGTTTTCAATAAAAATATTAAAATACGTTTATTTAAATATTTAAATATGCTTACTTTTATTTTATCTTTTATTGTACACAAAAAGATTTTTGGCTCCCCCTACGTTCACCAACTATTGGGTAAAAACAGCCTGTAATCCCCCCATTAAGTCTGATTACTCACACGAAGCAGAAACCGGTATGAGAAGAGTATATGTGAAAAAAATCTCGAAATCAATGTACGCTACACGACATGGGGACTCTGTGGACCCTGTGAAATTCCCATTTCCCATTGTGCACCGTGGCGTCCCGACTTCCCCAAACGCGCCCTATGGTTGCCATGTCTGGTCCGTTGCTGCGTCCATTGTTCGCTTCCAGCTTTACCGACAGCGTCTACGGCGTCCGTGACCCGCAATATGGTGCAGCATGTGTCAACGTGATTAACAAGCAAAGTGTTGACCACGATAAGCTCTACGTATATTGGACGGCTTTAGTTGTCGAAAAGGTCAAGCCATATCGTTTCAAATATCTAAGACCTGCATTCATTGACATCCTTCTCTGATATTTTCTCAGGTGTTAGTGCACGCAGATCTTCCTCGTGCTTCGTGTTCATTGCGACCTTCAAATACGTTTCGAACCATTTTATAATGAGAACCCCGCAGTTGTATCCATCGTTCTGCAGCTAAGAAGATGAGTATTTGAACGTAAACTTGAAAGCCGGGTCAATCAACGGTACCACATAATTCTTCATGATCGTTTCAACTTCATCAATGTAGTCAAGTTTCTGTTTTGGGTCGTAGATCCAGATTGAGAAGCTTCGAAAGTCGACAATTGCGCCACACCAATGCAACACGTCCACCAAAATGTACACCGAAAAAAACACACGCCCAATTTCACCACTACTTAGTATATGCTTGTCCGTGTCGATCAGTCTTTTCCCCTCAGCCTCCAGTTCAAAACCGAGAAACACGGAATCCGCTACAAATACTTCAATAACTCCACTCTGTTTGTACCGGTCAGTTGTGCTCGTTGGGTCGCATGTAGTGCAGCTACAAATACACACCCATCACACAGCCAGTTTTCACCCGCAAACCTTGTAAGATCATGAAACTGAACAATTATTTCAGCTATCCGAGTCTTGAATGCAGAAAATATGTTCAGCATTGGCAGCGTAGATAGAATGCTGCGTTGTACATCACTTTCCGGCTTGGATTGAACCCAGCTTGTTAGGCCACGTGTGCTTTTGATTCTTTTCGAGAGATCATGCCATTCCTTCATGGAATCAGTGTCTCTTAGTGCAAAAAATTCCAGCGTCCAAAATATGCACGGCAATTTCACCTGGGGCGGGTGTCCTCTTGTTGACAGTTTGTTCTCGAAACACAGCGTTTTTCCCTGCTGCTGCAGAACTTCAGGGATGACGTAGCGAATGTTCGTTTCAATTTGCAGCTCTTCTCCTGGCCTTTTCAAGCGTGCCTTTGGTCGTTTATATATCGCACCTTTGAACATCGGGGAATGGCTGAAAAGACTGGTTCAATTGCCGGGAGTGACCGATTTTCTTGTCAACATATTCACGAAGAGTGATAAGCTTTTTGTCACCCATAGCTGTCAGCTACTTTGCTAGGGCCTTGGTTTCGTCGAGCTCTTTGAGTGCCTTGGCTTTCTTTTTTGCTTTCTTTTCTTTTGGTCGCTCTGCGGGATTGCTAGCTGGATTCAATTGAACGACCAGATTTTGACTAGCACCAGCATTGACAAAAGCAATATCAAGTCGTCTCCGAGTTGTACGCGGTGTCATTTTGCTGGTGTCAGCTATATCGCTGGCTGCGTTCGTGATATTACAACTAATTCCGGGAGATTTTGGGACTTGTTCACTAGCTTGAAGTGAGTTGGTGACTTCTTCACCAGCAAAAATTGTGACTTTGTTCACCAGCTTCATGAGAAATTGTGACTTGTTTATCAGCTTAAACTTGAAGAGAGCTGGTGGAATCTTCACCAGCTGGAAGAGATTTGGTGACCTGTTCACCAGCTTGGAGAAAGTTGGTGGCTTGTACACCAAGCACGCGGGAATTGGTGATAGGATATCCAAGTGACGAGGCCATCGTGTTTGCGGTGAGGTCAGGAACGTCACCATCGAGCCTTGCAAGTGATTCCAGCTGAGTTAGATAGTTTATCCACTTGTGAAAATTCCTCGATCCTTTATCAGCGATAGCTTCAGCTATTTTCTGGCAAACCGCAATTCCGGTGCGATATTTTTCGTTGTGACCCAAGACACGATCCGACGAAACTTCTACCGTGAATATCGGCGCACTATCTCCAGCTTCATCAGAATCATCATCGTCTTCTTCTTCGGCAATTAGCAATCGCGCAGGAACAGAATTATAAGGGATGGTAGAGCAAGTTCCATCTTGTTGCCGTCACAAATACATGATATGACGACATGGAATCTTGAAGGTACGAAAAAACTGCAGCTGCAGTGACTTTTCTCCACACTGACAGCATACATGACATTCGACTCCGCGCGGGTCAAATATACAACGACGGAGTCGCTTCGTCTTTGGAGATATCATCAGTCAGCTGTCCACTAAGCTTGTATTCGCTTTCTACCAAAGAACAAGCGTGATGGGTGGCCAGCTTCGCCAATACGCACATCTCCTCATCGTAATGCTGGTTATAACGGCAGCCAACTCGTCTTACTTTCGTCCAGTAACCATCTTCCGCGGACTGCTGCAGGAAAAGTATGTCGATGCATTCGTCCATTGCCATGTGCCGATTCAAAATCTGTTTGGCGGCGCCCCAGCTTGCCTCTAGACGGTTATTCGTGTTATTGTCGAGATGAGGAATATCACCACGCTTAAACATGCACCACAAAGCCTTGCAGGCTAACCAATTCTCTTCGAAGTAATCCATGAAACCAGGTCTCTTCCAACACAACTCCTTCAACACTGCGTGGTAGTGATCAAATGATTCTTCAGTCCCAGCACGAACCATTAGTGTCACCAAGTTTTTGATGTGAGTCTACTCAAAGTTTGTAAAACCATAGTTGTTCTTGCTCACCTCTCGTTTAAGGTAGACAATGACATGAAAAGATGACACAGCGCCCGGAAATGCATCCTACAACAGTGCGAGTTCAGTGAAGTCCTTCCAAATGATAATCACTCTGACTTCCATCCAAGTTGAATTGTTTCCTTAAACGCAGACACAGCACACTGCATGTTCGATCTGCTCTCTCCATCAACAAGGGCATGCTGAGCAAACGCACCGCATCCAAACTTATCGGTGATCATGAAGCAAAATAAACAATATCTATAAATGCGCATGACAACATTAGTTGGTGATTATTCAACCAACATACAACAAGTTTGTGATCGGAAAACCAATTATCCGTACTGATTGATTTTTGTACCGTAAGTAGCATCGATACACTGCCTCTGGAAACCTGCGAGCCATTCGCCTCATGAATGCTGTTTGGAAGGTGATACATGATGTCAGACCCGTTTGGTTGTCTCGGAACACTTTGTCAGCATTTCCAGGCCCTTCACTGAAGTCTTTCAGAAGCTGCGAGACCCGCACGTTATCGTCCTGCAACGTGTACGTCCCTTTCCGCATCTTCGCGATAAGGTTCTCCACGTCTTTAGGCAAAATGGGCTTTCCAGATACCTCCTTAAGATATCGCAAAAGCTTCGTCTTCTTTGATCCGCCTGTGTGTTATTAACAACGATTAGATATTCATTCAGAGCTGTAAGCTAAATCAAGACTGTACCTTGTACGAGGTTTTTTACAACGTTCCTCGTGGCTGGAGAGTTGACTTGCCGGGTTTCAGAATACGAATAGTACACATCCTCGCCTACGACGTGATTGTGGCCTGCGTAGTGCGTCGAAACGCGAACCATGAATAGCCCTTCCTTCTCTTTGACCAAATTCGCACTTAGTTTTGCTGGGCACTTGATTGATGGTTTGTCCGCCTCCCATTGCCTCTTGGTTTGAACTGCCAGTCGTATATGCAAATGAAATACATCGCGTAATTGCCCAGAGCTTCGTCCCATAGCTCAGCAGTAGATTTACGTCCCGCGGCCTACTTGGCGCGCGTTCTATTGCGGTCTTTCACAGAAATGGTGGAGCGAATCTTGTGTAGTTGGTGTGTGTCCTGCTGGTAGCTGAAGAAAGCATGGTAATACATTAGAACAGACCGCGCATCAGCTCCATATGTATGACCTCATCACTATCTGTCAAAGGCGTCTTGAAATGCTTCCCGAGATGGAAACACGCCTTGAAACTGGGGGAATTCCTGCACGGGCTCCACGGTTTCCTCATCCTCTCCGCGCTTCTCTTCTTGGACGTCGCCGCAGACATCGTGGTGCTCGATATGGGACGGCCGGCCTTAGTGGAGGGCGGCTTGCTCGGGCGCGGTGAAGGGGGGATTTGAGCGAATGGATGCTGGCCGCTCAGATTTATCAAAATTTTGAATTTTGACATGCAAATACCGATGCCGCCAGTATTCCAGTTTTGCCCCTGCTTTACTCAAAAATAGTTAGTGAACGTAGCCACTTCCAAGATTTTTATGCGATAACGTGTTTATACAGATATGGTCGAAGTACTGCTCCATATCGATTAATGACCCCAACTTAAGCCCTATGGTAGAGGGCATTTGGTGGACCAAGTGACAGCGTCTCTTGATCTTTTGCGGATGTATACGGGATCGCTAGACGCTGCGCGACACTGCTGCAGCTCTCCATAAAGTATTGCAACGCGCACAGCCACCGCCACGCTCACATTGATGTAGCGGTCACTATATAGAGAGCGGGACTTGTAATAGAGGTGGTTCAAACCATATAATTCTGAAATACAACTGTTTCAGGTACACCTACCACATCAACAAATATTAAAAGATATTTTTAGGAGCGTCCAGGTTTCTAAAATTTGAAAACCCGGGCAGATCTGAACTTTACTGGCGAAAACACTACAAAAAACTTGCGTCTAGTGTCCCCTTTCTACACCGAATGTCCGGATTTAGAGAAACTATGTGAACAATCCTTGTTAGTTTTTCCACGCATTCGGGTCGTTCTTAACACCCTGTTGCGCGGTTGCGTGCTCTACTAAACATACAGCGAAAAATTTAAAAACTATTCACGCAACCTTTGATTCTTATCGCACATATGCCGTAGCGCGTCAAATATAAAGATAAATACTGTCATTTTTTGCAAACACCAGAATCTGAGAACGTGGATGGAATACTGGTACGCATCAGGACACCAGTTTCAATGGAAACTGGCAACGTCGGTTCGTATTTCTCAGATCACTATCCAGCTGTGGGGGTGAACATGCTGGCGATGTGTGATCACCTTAGCAGATGCATTTTCATGTGTGTTGCAGCACAAATGACGTCTGGGCTCCAGTAAAATTACTGTTGCTATACTTGTAGAGAAACTACCAATTGGAAAGTATTATCGGAGACAATATGTACATACCGAGTGAGCATTTGATCACTCCTTTTTTGGGGGTCACATCAAGAGAATCCTCACTACGACGCCTACTACTTCTACATCTACAAGTTCTCTGTACGCGAGGGGTGCGCGGCTTGCCAAAGCTTCACACTTTCCTCGTGACTGTCCACGTGCTTCCGGGCCTGGTTGTCTTACATGGAACAAAGTGCTTTGTGATGTCTTCATATTTTGGTCTGTCTTTTGGTCTACTCTATTTTGTGCGTCCTATTTCGGAATATGTCCATCACTGTTTGGACCTTTTACCGCCTGGTGTTCCGAAGCTCGATGCTCCATAGATTCTCTCTGCGTCCGGGGGTGGGGACTAGGGCGTAAAAAGGCTACCGGGGCCCGGGAGCTAAGAATCGTCAATTCAATAGAATTACGGAGTCATACAGCGTAAAGCTAGCCATTAATAACCACTACAAGAATGGGACGAGTATGTCAGCCATCATGGACATTTTCTACCCGCGGCTCACAGGCACCCAACGAGAGACAAATAGAATTGCAGTGTACCTTAAGGAGAAGAAATGAGTCCATATTGAACACCAATACGATACAGTTGACGGACAAGCTGCTCGTAGGGTCCGCCTCCTCGGTGCTGCGACAGTGTTGTTGGCGCGATCAGCGGAAGAGGTGGTATTTTTGGTCTACACGCTTGGTGATGAAGGCGTGCCAGTTTTCCGCCTTCTTGGGGTTCTCCTGGACGCAAGACCTCGCTGCTTGGTTTATTAACGCAGTTTTAGACCAGGTGATACGCCTAGGTGGTTCCTTTGATGGCAATCTCAAGAAGGCAGTTTGGAACCGCGTCGTCCGAGATTTTAACAACGGCATCCCCACGGACCAAACACGAGACTGCAAACAACTTCAAAATAAAATGGCTGAATTGAAAAAGAAGTACCGTGTCTACTCTGCAATGAAATCAAACAGCGGATTTGGTTGGGACCCCTCCGCCGACATGTCCACAGCTCCAGACTCAGTTTCATCACCGTCCACCCCCAAGCAAGGGAGTTCAGGACAAGACTTTTATTCATGTAAATGGAGCTGAATACAATCATATCATGGTCATGCAGACCAAGGCGCTAGCGGTAGGGAAAGAGGCCGGCGTGCCTAAGTCTGTGTTCTCGGCTATGTACACTTTTAGGAGAGGGTTCATCTGTCGCCATGCGCTGTCCTGCCGTCGCAACATCTGAAAGGTCCCGATCGCTCCTCCAGAAGCCCAAGCCATTGATGTGACTTTCAAAGATCAAGTTACGGTGAAATGCAAGAGCTCGTTGTCGATCGAGTCGTGGAAACAAGGAGAAATACCGTTTAAGTAAAATGCTAGTGGTAGACTCCGATGGTACAAAACTTCTGCCATTAGAAGTTGCAAAAGCTACACCGTCAAAGAGAACCGAGACGAACAACGACAATATCCGTGTCCGACAAGGGATTGGTGTTTATATTTTGAAGGATGTGAAGGAGCTCCTAGAACAAAGGATGTGATTGTATACGGTAATATCAAGTGATGGTGGGACGAAAAGCTTTTCGTCTTCTTGCGGAACATCATTTCGGTGCCCGAGAAGACACGTCTAAGCTGATTCGGTTGATATAGGATGCTCTAAGCGCGCACCGGATGGCTGACATGAAGTCGTGTGCGGAGAGACTCAACGTGATGCTCATGACTGTGCCACGAGGCCGTACAGCCGTTTGTCAGCCTGTTGACATTAGCGGGATTGCGCCTCTGAAGTCTCGGTTGCATTCTAGATGGATCGGTAGATTGAAAGCGCAGCTGGCGGCGCCAAGAGCTGAAGGGGAAAAGTTCACATTAGAGAGTTTTTTGCATCCTTTGCTGCTCCATTCCCATACGTTTTCTATGGTGAGGGTATGTTTTTTTCGGAGCGATGTTTCGCACTTTTTTCATTCCCAAACGTATTTCCTGTCAAATTGCATGTCATGTACTTCCTCTGGCCGAAAATAATCGTAGGTATGCCATATGACGATGTAAGGGCTAAGATCTAATGTGATTACGGATTTGTATCGTGTTGAGCGGGTATTAGTTTTCACCAAAGAGAAGAACGCTGCCACGATCTCCACTCTGCAGCGCTCTGATAGCGTGCTTGTATAACTCGAGCTCACATGTCAGAACCCTTGGCAGACAGTTGGCTCTACGCAGCTTGGCCTTGGCCATATGTGGCAGCTTGTACTGATTTCCTCCATCTTCCTTCAGAATGCAGAGCATACAGCTCTGAAGAGTCAAGAAAATGTCGTCTAAAGTGTCCGCGCTCATCGTTTTGTACGCGTCGTCGACTGCATCGATCAGATCCGTGATCTTGTAGATAGGAATCCGATATTGTAACGACTGCATTGATGCAAACAGACCCAGGTCCAACACGTTCAAGTCGGGCGAGTTGGGAGGCTGGAAGATTAGGCGGATCGACCAGCCCAGCTGCGAGGATGTCGGGGTCCAACGGCGAGATATGAGGCTTAGCGTTATCTTGCTGTATGAAAATTGTGCCTCGTCGCTGTCGTCTAGGCCACTGGGTTTTAATTACTGGAAATACATGACAAAGCAAAAACCTTTTGTACACCTTCCGATCAATGCTCTCAATGTTGCGCGTGCATATAGTACCTTTCGGTCTATACTGGCTAGACCGCTGGGCGACGTATTTCTCGGTTAATGCCCAGATGCCGATCTTGCCGTTCCATCTGCATTTGCGATGGAAGTCGTATCTAGAAAACAAATGTTGGGGGTCAATTATAAAGTAGCAAAATATAATGTACTGCAGGTTACGTCGGTCTCGCCACGGCAGCGAGAAACATGGTCTTCGGGATGAAGTTCTTGCGCTTGCGGTTCCGTTGCGGAGGCAATTCTTCATCAAGCATGTACGTGCGCTTGTTTGTATCTTGGTTGAACCATTTCTCATCTATATGAACGACATTCTCCATGCTTTGGAATTCATGGCTCTCGTCGTCGATATAGCTGAGAACGTGCTCCACCCTCATGTGCTTGTTCTGGGCTGTTAGGAAAGGCTTGATTCGGGTCGAACTGCGGTGCAAGCGGCCCTCCTTGAGCATGGCAGTCACTAAGTGCCGCGTGATGCCAGCGGCGATCGCTGTGTGTCGAACAACAAGGCGCTCTTCAACGGGAACCTGGGCCAACTTTCGGGCAATTTCATCGCGGTATGTTGGCATCCTTCCTGACTTGCTCTTGATCCTGCTTCGCCAGTCACCTCCGCTGATGCCATGCGTACACGTACGTGTGTACTGGGCCCACAGGCGCCCAGCAGCAGTCGCATCACAGCCAAAATTCCTCGCAACTTCTGCCTTTGCTCCGTGCTTTAATTTCCCCCTTCTAACGCGCGTCAGAAGATCGTCGATTATTGCACGGTGCTCGTGATCAGTAAGGTTTAGCATGATAGAGAGATCGCGGACTAAATGAGATTCCTGTGGCCGTGACGGGTGCCCCCAAAAATGAATGGCTGGAAACGCCAGCTTCTCAGAGCCATTACTACTGAACTACGGCTCCGATCGTGCCAAATCGAGTATTGTCCAATAACCTAAGTGACAAGGATCATTTTAAGCCAATCAGCACGGCAATTGAGCAGACATTGAGAAAGTTATGGCCAACGTTTTACAAACCTGCCATCATTCCCGGACAGAGGAAGTAATAAGGAAGGGTCTGGATGTATTACACCATCCACTCACTCTATCACTCACAATGGCCGCTGACGAGCTTGTTTTGCTGTGCGCGATCCTCGACGATGCCGGATGCAACGTTGTCATGCCTCTAGTAATTGCAGCGCTATATAACCCTCCAGCCGAATGTACAGTCGTGCCCAACATCCGCTTCTGTCTTGCATCTACGGCAGATGCCGATGCTGCGTTCGACTTTCGTTTTGATGTTGAGAGCATTATGTCTATGGCATCGCTTTTCAAGTTGTCCGACCGGTTATCACGGGACATCGCAGCAGCGTGCACAAAACAGAAGCTCTGTGCACATTATTACATCGACTTAGCTATCCTAAGCGCCTTGTGGATATGCGGGACGTTTGGGAGATCGGAGGGTGCGTTTACTCGGGTGGTGGTACAAAACTACGAACGTTTTTTTTTACTTTTATTTTACTAACCTTTTGCTAGTGGGCTGGTAGTTTTCAAAATATAAAGATACACTTTACTTTAACAAGCAAATTTTTCAAAGTCGAACCGCTGAATATGCTGATGCCATCCAGCGTAAGGAATCTCCTATGAAGAGCAATTTCAGTTTTATAGATGGAACGAAGAACGCAGTTTGTCGTCCCTCCCCACGCCCTATCGGAATTGAGAATTTACAGCGACAAGTTCACTCGGGCCACAAGCGCATTCACAGTCTAAACTATCAATGCATCACTACACCTGATGGGTTGTCGCTTCATTGAAGGGGGGGGCAGTTGAACGGGTGGCGCCACGATGTCACGTTGCTTCGTGAAAGTCAAGCTTTGGAATATTTCAAGTAGAAACAAGAATTATTGGATGGTTTTCTGTCTACGGTGACTCTGCTTATGGTGTGTCACGCTACACTATCTCTGTATTACGTGGAGAGAGCACGTCGCAGACAGATAAAGCAGTTAATAGTGCGATGAGTTCAGTTCGAGAGAGTATGGAATGATCATTTGGGTGATTGAAGACACTTTGGGCGTACATTGATTTAAAGAAGTTTACCAAGATAAGAATAAGTCCTGTGGGCAAGAACGTCATGATTGCGATGTTAACGACTAAATGCCATTGTAGCTATTATTGTCGTTTCCAGCCAAATCTCCATAATCGGATCTATTCGCGACCCTTGGCCCGAATCGCGCAGCAATCGCGCCGGTGAAGATCCCCACAGCTTCTATACGACTCAGCGGTCTCCGAGAGCGATAGACGACGCAGTAGACACGGAACCTGATGGAAGCGGCGGTGACCACGCAGCACGCGCATCCTAACACTGTGTTACTCTGCTTGTATGGCTACTACAACTTAGGCTACCCACGCAAGGAGCTAGATCGCATATACCACAAAGATCTCAAAACAATCGACAATTGGATGCATGCGTACGAACTCACAGGGACGTTCCAACGAGCAAGCAGGTCAGACAAACAGTTCTCGAAGCCTAAACGCGAATGGTTATACCAGTATAATCGGCATTTCCCTCTCTCCTATCTCGACGAAGCCCGAGAGGCCTTCATTCGAGCTCATCAAACTATAATCTCTATTTCATCAGTCTGGAGAATAATTCATGAATTTGGTCTCACAGGGAAAGTCTTGGAGCGCCGAGCTATCCATATCAAAGAGAAGGACATTTTTCGTTTTGTGAAGGAATTAAGCCAAGTGAATTGGACGCATCAAAACATTGTGTTCTTAGACGAAGTTTCGTTTGATAATGATAGAGGTCACGGATTTTGGAAGACGTAGAGATTTGTAGGAGCGAAGGGAGGAGTCACCACTCGGAGAAGAAGACCGGAGCGAAGACCACTTGAGGGGAAGAAGGAAGATTCTGAAGTGATTGATTTATCGGAGCTTACACTACTCTCACTACCTAGTCTGCATCCAATCGTTGGGGTCATCCAATCACCAACACTCTGCACTCGTCCAATCATCCTACTCGTCTAATCACTAGTGGCGTAATCAACGTACCATAATCATCGCGGGATCATGTTGGACAGGTTCAGGGACCGGTATATACCGTCAGGAACCGGTAACCCTCAATAGATGATAAGGGCATGATCAGAAAGCGCGGGTACTCCATGCGGGGAGAAAAAGTTGCGATTCGCGGCGAGTATCAAAGAAAAGCTCGTGTCTCAATTCTGGCGTTTGCAGGTGTGAATTGCCTATTCAGATCAAGGCAACGTTCGTTTGTATCCTAGATCGAATTCAATTTGGATTTTAGATGGTGCTGCGATTCACCGTCATCCCGAAATCGTTCATTTTATCAGAAGCATCGGTTTAGTACCGATTTTTCTTCCTGCATATTGTCCTTTTTTCAATCCTATTGAATACTTGTTTGGTTACGTCAAGAAATCATTCCAAAGACACTACGTGGAAACAAGTTCTAACGATCTTACGCCCTACATTGCGAGCACGCTTTCTCGCTTTACAGCTTTTGATATGACGAAAGTGTTCGAGCACTCCGGGTGAATGTGCAAGGGTATTTTGATCCTGTTCGCCAACTGTCAAAGGAGAATAGACTACACACAGCAGAACAGAACGCTGAACAAAGCCAAACAGCAGAAATTGAAGACGACAATCTGGAATTTGTAGTTAGACAGCACTAGGAAAGTTCACACATGGTCAACGTCAGGAATATTTTCCATTCGTTCCATGGGATCCGCAACATCTCGGGGTAGAAGCACGTCATCAATAAAGCTCTGAATGACATCTTTGCGTGCTACCAAACACTTGCCGTTTTCTGTTATGCGAGCACCAAAGCTTTCCCAATCCTGCAACAGCTGATTGTTTGCAGCAATCGCTGCATTGACACAATATAATGCTAGATTAGCTGAGCGTGAGATACCAGAAATTTGCTGCTCGAGGCTGGCCTCCGCTAGTCGGAACAGTCGTGCGACAACGCCTGGTGGGGGCTGCTCGATTGCTACCTCCCACGTCGATCGGCTTAAGCTCCGGACCATTTCATTAGCCCACATTCTCCATAGTATGGCTGCCCCTTGAAATGTCGAGCCCCATCGCTGCTGTAGCCGATCGGCAAACTCCTGTAACGTCACGTCACTAGCTGCTCCAGCTCGATCAGTAGCTACTGGATCAATGCACGCCCTTTTAAACGATGCCAGCATTGGAAATGTTTTAATTGTACTGCCATTCTCGTACACATATAACAGTGCAACTTTGCCAGCGCCTATTGAGCTCAACCACAAATTCCACTGGTGCTCCGTTTTATCGTTGTCTACGAGATGGCGACTTGGTAACTTCAGCTGCATCATTGCGGCCCACTCTTTAATGTCCAGCTCGGCAATAGACCACTCGCCAGTGTCGGCTTTACAGCTCTGCCCTTCATGTGTCCACGAAATTTATCCCACAACTTTGTAATTAAGGCGCTGAAAGTAGATCCCTCAACAGCATAAATCTCCAGCTCTTCACCTGTTTGGTCACGCTGACTGACAGCCTGCTTTACAATTGGCTTCACAATTAAGCGGTACAAATTGGCGTCAGCATTCGTGTGCCCTTCGATAGAAGAGCTGTTGTCATCGTGTGTACGCCGCTGCACCAAACTTGTTAGCTCCCCTTCGTCCAGTGAGCTCGGGACAACCCGCGACGCCGTGGCTCTTGGTGGTGTGTCGTTGCTGACTCCAGCCGCCCCGGCCAACCAAGGTGACCTCCGCGTGGGTGGAGTGCGCTCTCGGCCTGAAGTTGTTTGGGATAGATGTGGAGACTGCATGGTGGGCGGGGATCTGACGGGTCCATGGCTGGCTGTGTTCGCTGCTGGTGATGCGTACTGCGGCGAATCCTGGGCGAGCTGTATGTCCTCCGGGTTTAACTCTTCTTTCAATGATCTCCTCGCCAGAGCGCTCAGCATAAGGATGGCCGGGACGTACAGCTCGTCTACTTCGTGTTCCACGGCGCGGGGTAGTAGAGGTGTCGCTCCCAGCGACGTCTTCGCTAGTAGAGCTCTCGTCACTCGCCATCGAGCAAGGCTTCTGCGCGCAAGATGGTATCTAAATACGAAAATGCATATTCCCTATAACGGGATGGCGATTCTGGCGCGATTGGGCGCGGCGCAATTCAATGAATCGCGCATGGGAATTTGGAATGAAACCGACAATATAGAGGCAATCAGATTAGCTCATTTTTCAAGTTAGCACCACCAACATTGCAAGTATATATAACGTTTGCTAAGTAGCACCCTAAATATGCTTCTTAACGATCCACTTTTTTTTATTATTATGTCCGCCATTCTCTGGGTAAACATTTCCAGTAGCTTCAGCACACGCTTGCCGTCCTCAGTGCGAATATGAGCTTGCTCCTCTCGGTCGTATGCACGCTCACGTACACGTTCGCGACGCTCCGCTTCGCATTCCTCTCTGCAAGCCTCTATTTTCCGCTCCTTCAGCTCCAGCATGACAGTGGTCAACTGCGCCAGTCTCGTGTGTTTTTATGTTGTTTTGTGTGTGTGTGTGTGTTTTTTTTTTTGGGGGGGGGGGATCCCGTCGACACGTGCTTAATGGAGTTTTTCTGGCGCAAGTCGACGAGCAGCAAGCGACGCCTCCTCTTCACGTTCTCGCTTCTTCTGATCTTCTTTCTTCTTATTTTCTTGTGTGCGCTTGGTGTCATCGAGAAGCTCGTGTCGTCTTCCGACTCACCCGACAACTGCGTGGCCTCCTTGTTTTTCTCTCTATGGATCGACCGACAAGTTGGTTTATGTGCGATTGGGCGTTTGTTCCACTGAGTTTGGCGCGCATAATTTCTGGCGAAGCCACGAGCGTTGCGGCCATCCCATCCCAGTGCTGCATGACCTTGCCCCGGGGCTGTGCACATGGGCGATCAAGCAGCACTTGGCGTAGGAGGGCTACGTCGTCATCTTCACTGAATTTCTTGCGTCGCTGTGAAGGTGACGTGCAGGTTGATTTAGCAGCGAGCACCGTAGTAGTCTCCATAGATTTCGTCTTGTTGCTTGGCTGGAGTCTGGCGCGAATGGATTCTCCCACAGATTCTTATTCGCTATAGCTAGACGCGAGTGTTTTTTTTTTTTAAATAATTTGCTCTTTTTATGCCCAATTTAGTATGGTAACGGGAAAAATGGTGGGTGTTGCGAAAACTCTCTATTAATACTACCAAAACGACGCGATGTAGACGAATGGGTTTGTAGCTTCATCGAGTGATTTATCACACGCTACGATCAAGAGAATGGTTCAAGTTTTTGTTTCGCGACAACACACAACTAGCAGTCATTCTAGCTCGTATACAAGAGAAGATCTCGACAACCGTAAACGAGGTCGCTGCCTCGCTGAAAGAGCTAAGTCTGCTTACTGAGGAAATAGGAAATCACCAATAGCGCCACCACATGGAACCGGCGTGATCGGTCTGGCACTCCCAGCGCAGTCACACTGGATTAGTTTGTAGGTAGCTTCTGGGAAATGAAGCTCCAGGTTACACCACCAGACCTATGATTAGTGCTTTCGTTGATAATTCAATAATAAAGGGTTTGTCGTCCGATCCAATTCCCACTACGGATTCCCCGCAGAAGATTCGCTGTAGTACCGTAGTTTATAAAGGGGGTAAAATGTACCCATTGGCGGCTTAATGACTTGACCTTCTATAGTATAATATAACCAGGTCAAAAGTGCCCGTTCACGAAAGGGATAATAATATCGCGCCTTGGATCTCTACCGCTTTTTGAATATCGGATTTTATCTGCATCGACCCATGAAAGCTGAGCGACATGGTTCAAATTGCAGAATGTTTCTCCCAGAAACACTTCCGGACGAATAGGAAATCTCCCTCTATTGAGATTGGCCATTTTGTTCTTCAAATATTGAGTGCAAAAAGCAACATTAGATGTGGATTCAGCTATAATGTTGCGAGATTTCCGTTTGAAAACTCATTCCATTTGCCAAAGCACCAGCCGCAAATACCGCACAGAAATTGAAAAATCAAGTGCTTCAAAACGCCGACTTTGCCAGTTTTGGTGCTGACACAGGCTTACCGCTTTTACTCATTTCAGAAACTAGCTTATGCACCAAAGGATGCAGGCGTTCACCATGCATACGGGGCCTACCAGATGGTTTTGGGCCTATAGTCTGGCATGGTTTGCAATACGACCAGTGAAATGTTACGACTTATACATAACTGCAATTTCACTTAAAAGACTTTACCAAGGCAAAAGGTTGGGTCGTGATTCTTCTCCCAGTGGCTCCATATCGCCGAAATTGTGCTTGGCGCAAAGCCCAGGCGTTCAATAACATGATTGCTCACTTCTCCCTTCCACAGCTTCGGTGCAGCGCCTTTTCTGCGAGTATGTATTCGTATGTCTTTGTCACCAGGTGTTTTTTGGCCACAGATCGGGCTGTTGGTTGCTGAGATACAAATACTTTAAAATGGATTTTATACATTACCATTTTCTGTCCGAGCCTTTATGGCCGGGACAATGTCTTTGTGCAAATTCATCTGACAGTTCTCCTTTAACATATATTCATAATTTACCCCTTTGTTCTTATCGATGGAATCGCAAAACTGATGTCGGGGCACCGATTCCTCTCGCCTGATGTCCTTACATGGGTTAGCCTAATCTATGCCACAGCACTGCTGCACCGGTAGTTGCCACGTCACCGCCACATGTCACGATTACCTTCCCGCTGTCGATCCCTTGATTGGGTGGGCAACTGATATAATTCAAATCGATAATCAGATCAGTGTATTATGTGCCGCGTTATAAACCTTTCATAACTAGTGTAGGACCGGACAACCCAGTTAACCTTTGTATTCTTACCGCAGTTGACGGCTTCAAGGTTCTCACATTAGCTTTTTCAACTTACAAAAACGATCCTGCTGCAAAGCTTTTGTCAGCGCATCCGTCACCATATCTTTGGTGCTGCAAAAGCTAATGTCAATTCGCTTTTTCTCGTAGGCTTCTCGAGCGTATAGATGACGAGTCGCAATGTGTTCAGTCGAAGAATGAATTTCAGAATTCTTCACTTTACTTATAGCGCCGTGTTATCGCACCAGCAATATATCGTATTCTTTGTTGCCAATCTATTTCTTTTAGCAATAGCCAAAGCCACTCACTTCTTTAACACCCTCACTTACAATTACTAACTCTGCTTGTGTCTTACGTAAACTGACCATATCATGCCTGCAGCTTTTCCATGAAACGCATGCATCAGCGAGTATAGAGACATAACCTGTGACTGACTTTCTCTCTTCATTAGCATTTGTGAAGCTCGCATCTGTGTATAGTTCGTAAACTACCTCCTTATTTGTACCATCATGTACTAATCCATACATAATGTCGATAGCTACACTATGGGAGATATTGTAACTGGTGGAAGTTGATTACGATCGAATGAGGCATCGGTCAGTCCGTGTGGCATACAATCGCACAGGATCATGGAAGGACTACCACATGTACCTATTTCGGTTAAAGTTAGACGAGGACTTTGTTGATAAACGACCACGCTCTCGACGCAAAATGCCACGATACACGCGGTTAAGTGGGTATGAAATTACTATTAATTCGGTATTAGGCGTTAGAGTTAGCAGAACCCGCATTCCAATTCCGACTTCACTAAAGAAGGCGATAGCAATGCCATATCGAGAATCATAGTTGGTGCATTCGAAGTTGAATACCTGGCACTATTGGCCAATAAGACATGAAAAGGTAGATTTACCAAAAGGAAGGAAGGCATTAGGGTGGCATTGGGTATTAGATGTAAAATACAACGCCAAAGTCTGTGGATCGGTTTAAGGCAAGATTAGTTGTATGAGGGAATCACCAACAGTTCGGGATTGATTATTGTCGACTGCTGGAAACAGTGAACAATATGCTTTTGGTGTCACGTAGTGTACGGTTTAACACGAGCGATCAGTTAGCAGCGATAAGCTGGTCTTCTCCCAAACAAAATTACTAATTAACTACTGCTGAGACAGAAAATATAATGGTCTGTACAGGTAGCATGTACCACAAAATTCTAGTAGAATTTGCGACCTCACATGCCGTGCAAAAAAATGGAAGATCCTTAAGCTCATATTGTGGTATCCGAGGGATTCAACTCACCAATTAAGCGAAAATTGTCGTTAGTCTAGCCTTGTGTACATGGCCTAACCTGAGGTACCACTTTTCCATCAAAGCAATAATCTGTTTTTCAGAATATATCTTGCTCACTGTATTGACCTTACTACGCTTAGATTAAGGCAATAGAACACTGCTCCCTTTTCGTAATGCTGCAAATAGGAGCTGACAATCACCACCGAAAAAGTACAGAAACTCCCCCATCCCGAGATTGTATGATTATGCCCTTTCTTTGCAAATGGCATGCGTTGATTAAAGTACTTCCGCATTGACGGTCAAACGCAATTTTTTTTATCTTCAAACGTAATGACTTATGAGATGGGGTTACAACATGCATTTGTAGTGAACCGGTTAAAGTAGTCTCTGACAAATCTGTGGCTGGTACCTTTGTGTAGGCTCTTCAACCAGCTTTTGCTCGAGCTTATGCGGCAACCAGCCCCTGTATCACACAGATCATCCGAAACGGTTAGCTGACGTAACCAGCCTAAATATGAACCTTATTTCTTACGCACCATTGGATGCACTTGTCCGAGTCAAAAAGACATCCCCCGTTGTTCATCTCCGAGCCACTTTTCTCGGTCTCTGACATGTTGAATTCCTCATCCATTTTGACATTCGTTGGTGATTCGTGGATCGTCTTTTGCTTCTTGACCACATGCTGAACCGTGGCAATCTTTTTGGTGGTGTTTCGCATTTTTTTCCCGACGGTTGAGCCTGAATGTTGGCCCTAAAAATGTGTCCACCATCGCGAATTGGGTCCTGATCTGCCTTCATGCGATCACACTGGGCCTTCTGATGCCTTTTTCGAAGCAGTAAAAACACCCTTGACCTTGAACAATGACGCTGACATCCGACTTACGTTTCGTGGTGCCCTTCTTTACTTGGTTGATGCGGGTCACCAAACCCGGTTCATTCTGACCGATAATCGCTTCTTGGACGTGTCAGCGAACGGCTTCTTCAGGGAGACCTTCACCTTTCCGACGTGAACTATTCCTTCGTCAACTCGATCGATGATGCCCGAATCTCACAGGGAAGTTGAGCCAAACTTGCATGCACATCATCGTCTTCGTCATCATCTTCATTCCGAGGACCTTCTCCGACTTCCGATTCATCTCATGTCGCGCTTGACTCAGCTGCGAGAACAACGTCATGGTGTCCTTCCAATTCGAGTTGAGGATTCGATGCCACCGTTTTGTCAGCGCCACCGAGCCCAAGCTTACGCTCAAGGTCTTGTCAAGTCACGCGCACCTCCACGTTCCTAACGTCGTCTGGCAAGGACAGCAGAAACGAATTTGGTAGAGTCGTGTTAAGAACATGGCGCATGACAGCATCCGCCTTTCGCCACACCTTGATATCTCTTCGCATAGCTTTTGTTCTTTCTCTGTAGCTGCCTTGGCATCCTCATCCAAAGACGTGGTGGCGTCGACTTCAGGAAGTTCCCATGCCGACCTTTGGTTTTGGGAGACCTTTCTCGAAAAACTCATTTTCAACGTCCAGGTCTAACTTTTCCACCTGCGTGTGTAGCTTGTCCTTCCAAGTAGCGTACTCAATTTTCCGACCCGAGAACTTCTCCTGGCCAACGTGCACAATCTCCCCTTCTTGCTTCATGACAGTCACCCCAATATTTCTGAAATGTGGCTATCTTAAGCGTAGTTGTAGTAGTTGGTGTAGTTAAGTGTCAGACGGAGCGGCCAATTCAAAAGTTAGTGCCGTCTCCAGCTCTTGTTCCGGTTGAGTTCTCTTTTCCCATGTCATGGTTGGCACGGGAACTCAGTAAATTATCATAAGTAGACTAAATCATACAGTTACAAAGCTCCAAACGCACAGTCATCTCATCTGTTTCTAAACGAGATTAGAAACGATTTGCTTTCCAAAAGTTGGTACTTAACCTATCCCATAACAAAGCTTTTACAACTGCTAGGTCACAATGTAGGTTAAAAGTTTTAACTTAAAGCTACTTCGTGGGTGTGTCTACGCTGCAGATGCTGCGGCTGGAAGCAGGCAAAGGCTGAGTAGAGCCTGAAAATAGTTGCTTGTCATTTTTACCAGTTATTAATTGTGTATAGTTTTGCTGCTATCCCTGTCAAATTCTACATGAATGTGGTGTGGTGTACATACACAACGTGGCGGCGAGTTGCAGAATCGAAAAAGCCGAGGAAGATGACGACAGCCGAGGCGACGGACAAGGAGGACAAGGTACCGCCCGCCGAGGCGCCTGCAGCTGCAGCCCCCGGCGAAGGAGACACAGAGGTAGCCGATGCCAACGTAAATGTGCCGCAGATCGCGCCACTGGCCAAGTACAAACTGGTTTTCCTGGGAGATCAGGGAGTGGGCAAGACGTCCATGATCACGCGCTTCATGTACGACACATTCGACAACGCGTACCAGGCCACGATCGGCATCGACTTTCTGTCCAAGACCATGTACATGGAGGACCGCACTGTGCGACTACAGCTCTGGGACACAGCTGGCCAGGAGTAAGTATAGATACCAGATACTCTGAATGATCCTCCAGATCCTGACCCATTTGTTTTGCCCCATTCCAGACGGTTCCGCAGCCTCATTCCTAGCTACATCCGTGACTCGTCAGTTGCCGTCGTAGTCTATGATATCACAAGTGAGATGCCTAGGCCTGAGGATACTGAAGAGGGCTATACATACTGACGTTAATTGCTGTAGATCGCGCGTCGTTCCTGAACACGAGCAAGTGGATCGAAGATGTGCGCACGGAGCGCGGGCAGGATGTAGTGATTATGCTGGTGGGCAACAAGACAGACATCTCGGATCGACGTCAAGTGTCTATTGAGGAGGGCTCCGACAAGGCCAAGGAGGAGAACGTCATGTTCATCGAGACGAGCGCCAAGGCCGGCTACAATATCAAGGCTCTCTTTCGCAAATTAGCCACTGTGTTGCCCGGCATGGAGAACACCATGATTAGTGGAGACTCTAACCGTACGTTGGATTGCTTGACTTTGGTTGCTCATATATCACCGATACTCCTTTTGTCATGCAGTGATTGATATTAAGCTGACGGCTGCACCACCTCCGAAGGAAAACACGGCAGAGCAATGCAATTGCTGAGAAGAACGACGTATTGGGTAGACGGAGGACCTACTAGATGGCAGGAGACACGAAATGCATGCAGGTTAATTGCACACGTACAAGCGAACGTATAGGAGCCACGCGAGGACCACCAAACAGGAGCACGCGTTGCCTCAAGAAGTAGTTGGCGCGCATACTCGCAGTCTTCGCGGTCTCCTGTCGTATTCGTGTTTTGTCGAAGCAGAGAGGGAGTATGCATGTAGGCTTGTTTCCTTTTAATATGTGGTGACGAGATATGACGTGTTTAGTACTGCTGGTCTGAAGCTTTAGGTGCAACAGCAACAACAAGAGAGATGCTGCTCCTACTTCCGGCGGCTACCGCCACTGCTTTGCTGTTCCTTTTCCCGCTCGAGCTCTTTCTTTTTGGAGATGGTCTCCCAGTCGATAGCCACTTGTTTCGAGTACTGCAGGAACTTCTTGTCGGTCTCTTGGAGCTTATTCGCCGCTAGGAATCGTTCACGGTAGGCCAGCACCGTGTCCACATGTGTCCCAGCGTCTGTTGTGTGTTTGATGGCTAGGTCCAGCGCTCGTTCCCAGCGGAAAAGTCTCAGGTTCAGCTTAATGGCTCGATACACAAGAGGAGTGGGGTGTGCCTGGAGCAAGATGGCCTCGGCTTCGTCAACGTTGCCTGAGTACAAGGCCAACTCTGCGTTGCGACGCTCATCGGAAGCCAGGTTCTTCACGTGCAGCACGAAATAGAGTTTATCCACGCAGTCGATGGAAGCAAGAGCGATCTCTGCTGTCTCCAAGTGGCGTCGATGGAGCGCCATGCCAGCCAAACAAGTCCAGAGGCTTTTGCTCTTCACAAAGCGACAGAGTCTTACAGCTTTGTCCCAGTCAGCAGTCGTCGTAAACTCGAACAGCATTGGTGCGTATGGGGATACGCTAGCAGCAAGTGTAGTGCCGTCCGCGCGTCGCACAGTCACGCTCGATCCAACAAAGCTCGTAATAGCCGCCATTTTGAGGAAATCCGCGGCGTCTCGAGACTCTACGACGTCCGGCAGCAACGTACGATCCACGTAGACCATGTTGGGGTACGTCCAAGTGAGCAACTTGGCGTCAGCTATCGCAATCAGCAGCTCCGACGCGTCATTCCACGCTGCAGAGTCCACTTGAGCGTGCAGCTTGAAGTTCCCCTTGCTGGACACACGCGAAAGATACATATCGCGGTTCCGGTCGATAAACAAAAGCTTGCGATCTTCCATGGGTCCAAAGCGACTAAGTGACAGCTCAAGGATCTCCAGCGAATGCGTGATCGCCACAGGAAGCTGCTTGCCCGTGTTCAAGTCGAAGCACCGGATTGTTTTACGGTCCGAGTGGTCCAGAATGGCAAGAGTGTCGCTACTGAGCGAGATGGTGCGGCTACTGAGGAATTCGACATGCAGACCAGAGAACTTTGGGTTGCTCACGGTCTTGCCTTCGTACGAGTACACTTGAATCCCGTTGAAGTTGTCTACAGTCAGGAAGTGACTCTCGCTCTGGACTAGAAGACTCACCGCGGCACGCAGATCGAAGATGTGAGGAGTGTTCCAGCTCTGCGCGTCGTAAATGAAGCACTGCGTTGCTGTACAGACCACGAGAAATCCGTGCGCGAACGACATCTCCACGACTCGATCACGGGCAAAGTCCAGCTCCTCGAGCGTCTCATTTACTACGTCATGGACGTGGATCTTACGGGGATCCACTAGCGTCACCTCGACCTTCTTCCAAGGCAACATACGCCCCACAACTTGAGCAAACACGGTGGCTCCATTACCGCCAGCAGCCACGAGTTGCGTGGAGTCCGAGGCCCAAGCCAAGTTCATTAGCGAGCCGCTCTGAGGACGCTGACGACAGTAAGACCATCCTGTCTGGTCACACAGCCTCAACATGTTGTACGAGCCCACAGCGAAGCAGCTCCCGTTAGGACACCACGCGACGGAGGTGATAACATGCTCGCCTGCTGGACTCTGGTACAGCTGACGACCAAAGGCGTCCCAAACACGGAAGATGCGGTCTTCCCCGCCCGAGACGAGGCGGTTGTTAATCGGATTCCAGTCCAGACACAAGATGGAGCCATCATGAGCTTTCCACTGAATGTCTTTGCGTCCAAGTTGCACGGTCTTGATCACTAGATTGTTGCCGTGTGTGAACAGGATTTGGTCGCTATCAGGACCCCAGCACACGTCATAGACAGATCGACCTGTGGTCGCTAGTGTCGAACGGAGATTTCCACTACGTGACCAAATCTTGAGCGTCCCGTCCTCTCCTGCCGTGACAAGCGCTGTGCCGTCATAGTTCCACTTGAGAGCAATCACAGCTCCAGCGTCACAGGCCTGTACACGCTTCTCCTCACGTCCGCTCTTGGATATCAAGCGGAACGTCCCGTCAGTGCACGAAACAGCAAACGTGTCGGCACTCTGCTTGCCCACCGACGGCACCCAGTGCACCGATGTGACGTAGGCATCCATTTTGGTGACAGCACCCACCACTTCTCCGTCCATTCGCCAGCGCACGATGGAGTTGTCGTCGCTGCATGTGATAGCGTCGTTCTCGGGCGTCCAGCAGCATGCCGTCACGATCTCCGTGTGGTGGTTTACAGGCAATTGGGAGTGCTGGAGATGCATAGCTGAGGTTTGTCTAGGCGTTGAATGATCGAGAAAAGATCCGACGCGAACGCCGCTCGACCTTTCAACGCTCCAAGAAACGCTTTGAAGTATTCATGGCTTCCTAACCGAAAAATGTTGTGCTTGATTGTCGTACAAACCAGCTCATAACCGAAAGGTGAGCGAAGAGGTCACAGGGTAATCGTGCAATGCGTGCAACGTACGCCGTTCAAGGCCTCCTGGTAGCTTCCACGACGATGGCAGCATCGTACAATCCGCAGTATATTGTTCTTGGAACGGATGGTACGGTGGTTGATGCCGATCCCAGTCTGTACTTCCGAACTGGTAGGAACCAACCCTATCAACACCAAGGCCAATTCGAAACCGAGCAAGAGCTTGATGACTTGGCCAAACAAATTGAACCTGAAGAGCTTCCGGTGGTCACTCTGCCTTCATCACACGATGAACTGCTTGCTGTGACAGATGTTGACTCCCCGGACCAGGATTCCGATGAGGACGAGTTCTCGACAAGCACAGTATCCCAGGAGACAGCAGCTACCGTCTCGTGGAGCACACTCGCTTTAATCGATGAAGATATCCCCGGAGTTTACGGTTCTGTCGTATTCGCCGAGTTGGTAAGAATTTGTTTGCTATTCACGGCTATCTGTCGTACTGACTTGGTTCTTTTGTGATGACAGAGTTGCTGTTTTGTGGCATTCATCGGATATTTGGTGCGCTCGATTCCTCTATGGGTCAGCTTCTCCAGGGGTCAGAAATGCTGCCTCATCGTGGCGTTCAGTGTAGCATTTCTCTATCAGTTTGCAGCTCTGGGCTGGTTCTTTGGTGCTGTGACTCCAGAGCTCATGCTAGGACTATCGAGCCTCATCACGCGAACAATCTCGCTGGGAATGGTGCCGATCACCACCACATCGTTCATGGGTCGTGCGAGGTCCTGCCAAGACCACTCTACTACAACTCCAGCACGGTCAAAAAAGTCTTCCCATTCGCGAAACTCACACCGCCATCACTCACGCGCCAGATCCAGCTAGAACTCTTTTCTACGCCCCTAAGTCGTATATATCGCTATGTAATTCATACATGAAACAACCCAAAGGAACAACTATTCAACTCCAGAAAGCAAAACCTCAAGATCATCCCTGTTAGTAAGCTATAAGTAAGTGGGCACGTACACTTTCTTCTGAGTGTCCTGGCCTGGAGTGGGGCACTTGGCGCCCTCCATGCGTGATAATATGCTAGGCTTCTTTCCAGGAGATGGACGCGATGGCTGGCCAAGATCATGGCCATTTGCTACCTTTGGATCTTCTGCTTCCAGTTCTGGTTCCGATCCACTGATCACTGCAGCTTCAACTTGGTGTTGATAAGCGTTCTCCTCTTCTTGATCACCAACAATCGCTTCGTGACGAAACGTTGTAGCTCCGTTCAACAAGGCGTCCATATCCTCATCCCCGCTGTCACTACTGGTACTGACAGTGGCAGGCTTGTCTTCGGTCTGAGTTGGTGTCGGTAATTCCTCCGGTTGTAGTATATCCGACACCAGTTCGTCAGCCACTTCGATCATTTCTCCTTCATCATCATCCACGGCATTTGGTCGTTTATTCGGCGTTGTCTTCTTTGCCGCTTTTTTCATCGACGCAGCATCATATTGAACTCGATTCTGCTGAATTATCAAACCATCACGACTTCGCTGGTACGCATCCTGAATGCCCTTAAGCACTCCGCCAGGTTTCCAACAGATCAAGTTCGCTATGCCAAAGAGTTCTCCTCGTTGCTGTGGGTTTCCCTGGACACCCTCAAAATATCGCGGTGCATTGGATCCCTTTAATGTTGTGTCACTGAGTTGCTGCTTGTAGATCTGTCGAACGTAGATCATCTCTTCAATGGTCCCCAGAGTAATGAGTCTGTAAACTTGTACGTCTTTCGTCTGGCCGATACGATAAGCTCTATCTTGGGCCTGGCAGTCATGCGCTGGGTTCCAGCTAGGGTCAAAGATCACGACATTCGTCGCGCTCTGTAAGTTCAGCCCCACCCCACCAGCCCTCGTACTGATCAAGAACACAGTTGTGTTGCTCTCTGAGCTGTTGAAGTCGTTCACCATCTGCAAACGCTCCTCCACCTTCGTATTCCCATCCAGTCTGCTGTACTTCGTAGCCTTCGTGATCAAAAAGAGCTGGATGATATCCAGCATTCGAGTACTTCGACTGAAGATTAACGTCCTCTGTCGACGCTTCTTCCACACTGCAAGCAGTTTCTCCAACACGATCATTTTGCCGCACGTTTTTGTGGAAATAGCGCACATCTCTTGAAAACTTGATATTTGGTTCACACCTCCGACCTCGTTCAGATCACTACCAAAAGCTGTCCTTGCAAACTCACGTTGATAGTGTTGGAGCTCTGGTGTGTCGTGTGGGTTCACCTTTAGCAGCTCCAAGTGATTCGATAGTTTCAACAGCATCGCCACGCACGGAAGACCCATACAATTTGGGCAGTTCTTGCACGGGCCATGCTCATGGAAGCGCTCGTATAACAGTCCAGGCCCATCGCCGATATCCGGCGGTGTTTTGTAACAGCATTTCTTTCGCTTCTCCCCACTATCTCGACCACAGTCGCACCTTTCCTCTCCACGTTGAAGCAACTGAAACTCAGGCATAGCCAACACTCGCTGGTACGTGGCCATTTGAAGTGGCGTGAGGTCACAGAAGACCACTTGGTCGTTCTTTTTAACCTCTTGGAACGTCGGATTAATCTCCTTCTCTCGTCGCAGGTAGTACGGGCGTAGCTTTTTGCGAAGCTCCTTTTCTTTCTGCTGGCTTCGTTTTACCGCTTCCGGTGCTGCAGATTTCTTCCTCCCGTATTTGATATCCTGTCCGTAGTACATGCTAAACTCTGCCCAAGATCCAATTGCTCCCGGCGCAATAGTGTCGACCAAGCAGTGCAGCTCCTTCTCATTATTTTGCATCAATGTGCCTGTGAGACCGAGTTTCTTACGGCATTTAATCGCCTTGACAGCTTTGGTAAGCTTGGCCTCGGGGTTCTTCAGGCAGTGCATCTCGTCCAGAATCACCGCTTCCCACGATATTTTGTGCAGCCGACTCAAGTACATCTTCAGCATGTCGTAGCTGCAAATGACAACTTCGTATTCACCCCTACATCAAGCAGTAATTCACGATAAATCAGTGTACACTCTCGCGTTGATACAGGGGCAAACGCACCTTGCAATTTGATCGATCATGGCGTCACGGTCGCTTGGTTTACCACGCAGGATAATTGTGGTGCAGCACATCCAAGTGTGCAGCTCTTGCTCCCAGTTTTGGAGCAGGGATGCTGGCATCACAATTAGTATCGGTGCTACCTCACCAGAGAAGTTGAAACCCGCGTCTTCTGGATGGCCAATACCACCACTTCCGCTATATCGTTCTCTGCGCTGATGCAGTAACATCCTCCAGGCATCCTTATCGCGATGGTCGCCGTGCTTGCCCATTATTGCTGACAAGAACGCAATGACTTGAATTGTCTTGCCTAGACCCATGTCATCACCCAAGATCGCTCCAGTATCGCGTTGGTAAGCGCTGAAGAGAAATTCCACACCCTCCCGTTGGTAATCAAATAAATAGCTGTTCAGGTTAGCGCATACTTCCAATGTCTTGGATCCTTCCTCCTCCGACAACGACAGAATCATAGGACCAGTGTTGATCTATCAAAACCATGACATTATTATTCTGTATCGTAATAATCCCGCAAAAATTTAAGCGTACCTTCGGCGGATTAAGCTGTGGCCATCGTTCACTCGTGTAAGTTGCTCTCTCGTCTTCACTGGAATCGCTCAGCACCTTCTGTACTCGTTTCCGTGGCTGCCTCTTTGCTGATGTTCGTTTACTTTGCCTTGTTCGTCTAACGGTAGCAGTTCGATCCGTCTGACCAAGCAGCTTCTTTGCAGCTTCCTCATCCCCCGACGTCACTTCCTTCAAGTCGGACATCCAATCGTCTGCATCATCTAGCTCTGGAATAGCTGAGCCGATAATGTGTCGTGGTCGAGGTCCAACATCCTGAGCTTCACTCTTTGAGTCATCGTAGAAAGCGTCACGAGATTTCTTCATCTCCTCTTCGCTCATTTCTATCGACGGTTCTTGTCGTCGTTGTCGCCTCCTCTTCATGTTCACAAATCCATCGGGATTGCTAAATGGCGACACGTACGTCGACTTGGGTGCCAATTCCTGTTTGGTCTCCGCGTCAGCCACCTGAGCGTCCCAGAACGATCTCTTCTTGGTCCCGGGGCTCGCTTCTTTCATCTCTTCTGCATCATCTTCCTTTATTGAGCGTGTAGTAGCTCGGTTTCCTGATGAGTCGAAAGTGGAATGACTATGTGTTCCCTTGGGTGACGTCTTTGCTGCTACTAGTCCGTATTTCCGAGCAATGCGCTCGCCAGCTGTGAGTTCCTTCTCCTTCTTCTCTGAGACTGCGGGTTTCTTGGGCGTGATGAAGGAATAAGCGGCTGCAGCTGCGTCCGTGGTCTCCTCCTTAGCGTCTTTCGTAGACGATGGCCGCTTTGCAGACGGCAAGAAGCTCATTAGCAGCTGACGCGCTGAAATCACGGGCTTGTGGTCCATTGCCGGTGTTGGAGGCCTGTTGCACGCTTGAACGCGCGATGTGGGGCTCAGCAACGCATACTCGAAGCTATCCTGACTACTGGAGGAAGGTGGCGCCTTTCGAATCGCTGGAGATGCAGACAGCGACGTCGGCGAGTCGCCTTCATCCTCGCTACTTGACATCAACTCCATGCTCGGTTAATAATGTAAAAGAACCTGTTTACCTTGATATGTTCTTTTCAATAAGATCGATGTATTGCAACTTATAATGGTTTAATCGTTGCTTTCAAACTTGATGACAGTTGTAATAAGTATAGAGAGAATTGGAGTCGGCAGTTGTCTTTGCTGCTTACCGACGAAAGCACCGTCGACGTCGTTGAGGTTACTAGGCTTGTTATTACGTTAGGTCTATAAATCTACAGCACTGCTTGTGGTCGCCTAATTGCTTTAGACACCAGGCAGCCATGGCGTTGACGCTTCCTCCACAAACGATCATCGACTGCGACTCTTACTGGAAGATCGGGTCGGGCGACTGCGTGGGCAGCAGGCCGAAGCGCTTCTTGGTGGTGATGCGCTCCTTGGAGAACTTGTCGTCAGGCGAGAAACGAGCCGGGTGCGCAGAGCATGTCGGGGTACCAGCAGGCGTCTCCTTCTGCTCATGTATCAGTAGCAACGCAAAAAAATCCGTTAGCACTGTCAGGCACAAACCAATGTTGTTACAGACGCACCTTGAGCGTGTAGACGCGCTTGCCGTCGTCGCCGAGGTAGTACATGAGGTGCATGGTGTCAGGGTCGCTAAGTGATTGGCGTTGATCGAATTGCGTTTTGGCCTCCTCTTGGACGCCCAGTCATTTTTGTGAAAAGGTCCACACAAAAACAATAAAACGATTTGGTCAGTGTTCGGTGGCGGAAGACTCAGGACATTTTCAGCTTAGTTTCAGTAAGATCCAATGTGTACCCATTTGACACGCACGGACTGTACATGCTGCGCCACCAACGGATAAGCCATGAAAGCCGAAAAACCTCGTCAGCAAATATAAAACCTCGCGTAGAATCTAGGGCATACTGAAGCCGAGTCATCGCCGACTGGTGGAGGGCGTGGGTTTCGCCTCCCATTCGCTGCTTTGCGCCCGATAGTTGGTAAAGTTCGCAACTTAGAGAAGATGGTACGTGTGAATGTATGTCTGAAGTTCTGTGTCCGCCGTCCTGCGACGCGAAATGCGTGCACAAGAGTGTCGTCCGTCTCCCTGCCTTTTCCCGTTCTCGAAAACTGCGTCTGCTCGCAGTAATCGACGAAAACCCGCGCTCCACCTTGACTATGAATCCACAAGTTGCGATCTAGTACTGTAGCAAGCGCTGCAGTAACAGGGCGGACTTGAGGCCGCTCATTCAGGTGGAACAGGGCTGGAAATGCAAATTTGAGGGACCGAAGGCTTCCGCAGGACGGATCAGAGCAATTACAAGACTTAAACAGGCAACTGACAGGATGTGATAACTCTTCCAGGCCCAGAACGTCCCTGAATTCAAGCTTATCCTCGTGGGTGACGGTGGTGTCGGCAAGACCACCTTCGTGAAGCGTCACTTGACTGGCGAGTTCGAGAAGAAGTACGTCGCCACACTCGGCGTGGAGGTGCACCCTCTGACGTTCCACACCAACTTCGGCCCCATCCGATTCAACTGCTGGGACACGGCCGGCCAGGAGAAGTTCGGTGGCCTGCGTGATGGTTACTACATCCAGGGTCAGTGCGCTATCATCATGTTCGACGTGACGTCGCGTATCACCTACAAGAACGTCCCGAACTGGCACAGAGACCTGTTCCGCGTGTGCGAGAACATCCCCATCGTGCTGTGCGGTAACAAGGTCGAGGTCAAGGACCGTAAGGTGAAGGCCAAGCAGATCACGTTCCACCGTAAGAAAAACCTGCAGTACTTCGACATTTCGGCCAAGTCCAACTATCAGTTCGAGAAGCCGTTCCTGTGGCTGGCCCGCAAGCTTGTTGGGTACGTTCTCGTAGCAATATTGCTTGCCTTTTGGTGTATTTATTTTTCTATTTTGTATTGACCTTTATTCTTTTTTATTGCCATTGCAGTGACAACAACCTGACCTTCGTGGAGGCTCCTGCCCTTCGCCCTCCTGAGGTCACCATCACCCAGGAACAGATTGCCCAGATCGAGGCTGACGCTAGTTCTGCCGCCGCTGCGGTGCCCCTTCCCGATGAGGACGAGGACCTGTAAGCTGGATGTGGTGTGCTGTCCTATCACGCCGACCTGCACTTTTCGCTTAGAACTCAAGGAGGAGAACGATGGAGGGAGACTCGGACGGAACTGCCGCGCAGCTTTTGGTCGCGCGTTCTGGCCGCATCGACCGACTGGTTTGCTGCCGCTGATGTGATGGAACGCTTGGTTCCTTAAGACGATTTACAACCAGGAGACGAAGAAGACCAGTGAGGAAAATAGTCGCGGTTGAATGCATGTTGCTCTATTTTTGATTGCTAGCTTAGCTTATTCCCATTTTCTAGTTAGATAAACCCGCAAGATTATACTCGCTTGCATTGCCATCGTGCCTTGTGATAAACAGTAACTCACATGCGTTGATGGTAACGCTGTTTCGGTAGTGATGGCTATCGTCGTGATGCAGAGCCGGATGCAGAGTCTTGCCATGAGCCTAGCAGCTGGCAAAAGGATTCCTGGCATTTGTGGAGTCAAAATGTCACCATGATCGCTCTCAGCAGGGTATTTATTATAGAGGGGTTCATTTTGATACATCCAGCTAGTCATCGATGGAAAACAAAAATAATATTATGCAGACATCTTAGCAAGTTTCGTTTGTGTCGCGTAGGTCGTAATGATGGAACCATAGGCGAGCCTCTTGGAAGCTCGCCACGAAACAGACAAAACCAATCACGCTCATTTTCCCCAAGAACGAGAAGTGCATGATGGCTGACGATAGATCGCTACACTTACAGCCACTGCAGAGCGACGGCAATGGCGAGGACGCCGGCGCGTTCTCGAGCTGTATGACCCCGGACGACATCGAGCTTCAACCGAGAGAAGAACCCAGTGAGCTCAAAGTGGTGCGATTCGTCTCTGAAAGCGACGGAGCAGTCGCCGTTGACGTCAATGAAATCAGGAGCAGCAGCGACGGAGTGAGCGGCATTCTCCTCGCTCGGGACATCCAGTGGACACTAGGGACTCGCGCATTCCGCACGTGCCTCGTTCTTGCCATGCCTTGGGCTGCCTACGCAATCCTCAGTACGTTGTTAGTCTTATTTTCATGCTGGTGATATACTGACACTGTGGCTCGCTTCTTGCAGACACCGTCTTCACAAACACTCGACTCTCCTACATGGAGTCAATGGGCATCTCCGACTTTGTGCCGCGATTTGTGCCAAGTCTCATCCAGGTTTTCCTTGGACCGATCCTCGGTGCCATGTCGGATCGGTCACTGTCAAAATGGGGACGACGTAATGTGTTCCTTATGGCAGCTGCAGTCATCGTGACGGTGAGTGGACTGCTCTACGGTTCAGCAAACGTGCTTTTCCCAACCCTCCAAGAGTTAACCAAGCTACTTCTTGTGCTGCTCAGTATCGGTGTACTACTACTAAACGTGCGTTGTTTACAGCTATAAGCTGCCAACAGATCAACACACATTCTCTAACGTCATATTTGTCTACAGATCGGTCTTCGTGCTCGCATCATGGACATGGTACCGATCGAGTTTCAGGTCCATGCGCAAGCAACACTAGCCATGTATGAAGGCGTCGGTGGCGTCCTTGGATCTCTACTCTTTCGCAGCACATCCGACGCGGTGGTCTTTGCCAGCGCCATCAGCGGCGAGGAGATTCTGAAAGCTTTTGGATTCGCTATGGCAGCCATCTTCGTCACGACTGCTGTTTGTATCTATCTACGACCTGAACACCCCCAGGACAAGCCCATGTTCCAACCTCGACTCAGTCGCGTGGGTCGTGAAGCTTGGGAGCAAGTAGTACACTCACCCAAGATCTTTCGCTTCTTATGCATTGTGTACTTCGTGCTATCCTTCGCATGGCTGAGTTTCTCGGACGAAGTTTATCAGTGGTGGGGTGCTAACGTCTATGGAGGTTGCAAGGCCGCAGGTACCGCGCCAGTTGATTACTTATACCTGTCCTCGTATTGACATTCGTTTTACATTTAGCCTGCGATGACAGCAGCCGGGATAAATACCGAAGGGGCCTCAACACAGCAAACACAGCGGTCATCGCACAGGTATGGCAATTTGTGCCTTGCATTTTTATTGTATAACGACTAACTTTTTCGACCCGGGTAGAATGGTCTCGTGGCGGCGATATGCTTCGTCGTGTTGCTCATCATGCCGCGATGCAAAGACGCAAGGTATCTCAAGCGGTTCACTGTACTCGGACTTGTGATCGGAAGTACGTTGCCAATGCTTGGTAGTGTCCTGGTTATCTGCTAATGCTAAATTCTTATTACATGTTCAGCCTGCGCACTGGTAGTTGCCGTATCCGTGGGGAAGTTTTGCAAGGAGGTGGCGTTCACAGGTTTTGTGATTACTGCTTTTTACCAAACAGTGGCGAATGTTTTCCCATTTTCGATTGTGGGCATCATGGGCAAGGAACTCCAGACTTCGGTTCATGGATTCAACAATAACGGCCTCTACGTGGGCGTTCTCATGCTGTTCGAGGCAGCATCGGATCTGACAGTTCAAGTGTACGGCACCGAGAGCTTGGCACCTTTAGGAACGGGGAACGTGTTCACTCTTCCGTGTATCCTTTTTGCGGTTGGAATTGCATGCACGGCCAGCTTCGTAGCAATGTTGGGCCGGCGATGAGACGGAATTGTATTATTAATACGTGTAACACAACTGTAAATGACCGCCTATTGTGTATGACGGCCGCTTTATTTAGCGGACCGCTCGATAGTGTACGCTTGCGCGGTGAGCCAGCACTCTGCCTCACCGTCCTGATCTGATAATGTCATTTCGTCCTCAATCTTGCTGAAGCCACAGGGATTTCATCGCGGATCTAGCCTTGAAGCTGTAACGAAAGAATGGCTACAGAGAGACCGCGTCCAGTGCTGCAGAACGAGCTAGTCGTAGCGCACGATGATCGCCACAGCTACATGCAGCGCATGCACTCGCTGGCCGGTCCAGGAGCGTATAAGATCCCGTCGACTTTCCAACACCGGACACCAAACCTACTGCTGCGTATGGTGCAGCGCGAGAATTACGGTCGAGAGTTTGCCAGGTAAACATACCAAACCAATAAAGCATTCATGTTGCCAGCGCCTTATCGTGGTACATACTGCTTGCGCACAGACAAAATCGGATCACGGCAACAAGTGCAGACACAGCAGAGTCGCCACCCACGTACGTTGCTAAAGCCTGCATAGATGCCGCGTGCAAGCCTCTCTTTGCATTGCCCATTACTGGGTGGCTAACTCGTGATTGGTTCGGCTAATGTAGTGCGCCGTGCCAGCTCACCCTCGCTAACACGCATCGAGCTCGCCGCGAGCAGCTTCGCAAAACGCTGCAGGTAATAAGTTACCGTCTCTGTCCTTGAGTTTGCCGCTCACATTACCATGCCATTGCTGCGACCTTGCTGACTTTGGTTGTTGTCAACAGGCGGATCGTTGGTGTCAGGACGATAACGTAACTTCGCCATCGCCGTCGAAAAGCGGCCATCGCGCCAGCAGAGAATCGAGCCCGAGAGCAACATCGCCGAACGACCGGGCGCAACGATCGCCATCGCCAAGCTCGCGCGCCAGCTCCCCGGGTCGGCTGCGCTGGACATCAGCAGATCTTGCAGACATCGTGGCGGATTTCGGTGAGCCCGCAGAGATGGACGAGCTGCTTAGCGAAGACGCTCCCCGCATGCAGCAGAAGGTAAGGCCGATTATCTTGGCGTGGTCTGTAGAGGAGGAGGTACCTGTGTCTTCTTGAGCACTGACGTCGTGTGGATGCTTCCTGTGGTTCTATTTGACGTGGCAGCAGCTTTGCACATTCAGCGCGCCGCTGACGTACCAGCAGTACCTCGTGAGCACGAGCTATCTGGAGCGGCTCAAGAAGCACCAGCAGCACCGGCGGCGGCAGCGCGCGGCCAGCCAATAGCTGAGGAATGCTTCTCGAAAGGCGTCGACATGTGCATCGCGACGCAATAATCGGATGGATTGGACGGAGTGCGCCCGGCGATACAGAAGGTAAACAGCAAGTTGAAGCTGGCTCGAGATTGACTCGCAGTGGCTTTGCGTCATGGCCCTGATTTCGACGGTGCACGGCCGCGTCACACCCTGTGACGCGGCCGTGGCAGGCAGGAGCCCTGAACGCCCTGCACCTTGTTGCTTGATGATCAAGTTGATCTGCAACGCCGCCAGAGCACAGCGGTCCTGTCCTCAAAGCGCCCATCCGTGACGTATGCCTCAGAACCTGTCGTACAGAATAATAACCAAACCGCAGTACACAAGAACTTCAAACCATGTTGTGCCGTACTTTATCCAATTAATGCACTGATATTCGGTAGAAATGCACTGATTAGCCGACAGCATGATGTCATCGCGTCTCTTCGACCGCAAAGGGTCCCCATTCCCTTACAAAAACCAAGTCAATAACCGCTGACGCGGCGCCCCCAAGCAGCGGCTCCCATCCTCCAGGCTCACCCCAGATTTTCACGTGCGTGGACCGGGTTGACGCGCTCGTGGCCCGCCACCGCAGCGCGCATTTGAGATTTTGCGGCGTCCGTCCCAGCCCTCAAGACACCTCACACACATCGCACCATGTCGGCCAAGGCGATCCGCGAGTTCGATGGCAAGCGCATCCTGTCCACGAGCCTGCCGGCCTTCAACCTCAACAAGCGCTTTGCGCAGGTGGCAGTGAGCAAGAGCTTCGCCGGCCAGAGCCGCGAGGAGTTCTTCGGTGCCATTGAGAGCACCAGCCCGTGGCTCACGACGCTGGGCGAGACGAAGCTCGTGGTCAAGCCCGACCAGCTCATTAAGCGCCGTGGCAAGGCCAACCTGCTGCTGCTTAACGCTACGTGGGCCGAGGTGCAGGACTGGGTCTGGGAGCGCATTAACAAGCCCATCCAGGTGGAGACCGTCACGGGCGTGCTCACGCACTTCATTGTCGAGCCTTTCGTCAAGCACGGCGCCGCCGATGAGCACTACGTGTGCATCGTCTCAAACCGCGACGGCGAGGAGATCCTCTTCCACCACGAGGGCGGTGTGGACGTCGGTGACGTCGACTCCAAGGCCAAGCGCCTGCAGGTCGGCATCGAGTCCGTCGCCTCTGAGGAGGAGGTGACTGCCGCGCTGCTTTCCTCGGTCGAGGAGGCGCGTAAGCCCATCCTGGCCAAGTTCCTTGTGGGCATGCTGGCCAAGTTCCGCGAGCTGCACTTCGTCTACATGGAGATCAACCCCATCGTGCTCGTGGGCGACCAGATCTCCGTGCTGGACATGGCCGCCAAGCTTGATGAGACTGCCAACTTCCTCGTCGGCGACCGATGGGGCGAGATCGAGTTCCCTCCGGCCTTCGGTCGCGCTAAGTTCCCCGAGGAGGAGTTCATCCAGGACCTCGACTCGAAGACGGGTGCTTCGCTCAAGCTCACGATCCTCAACCACACGGGCCGCATCTGGACTATGGTCGCTGGTGGCGGCGCCTCGGTCGTGTACGCTGACACCATCGCAGACTTGGGCTATGGCCACGAACTGGCCAACTATGGCGAGTACTCGGGTGCTCCCAGCGAGACCCACACCTACCACTACGCTAAGACTATCCTGGACCTTATGACGCGCAACTTCGACGAGCGTGGCAAGGTTCTGATCATTGGTGGTGGCATTGCCAACTTCACGGACGTAGCACTGACCTTCAAGGGCATCATTCGTGCCATCAAGGAGTACCAGCAGAAGCTTAAGGACAACAAGGTGCACATCTGGGTGCGTCGTGGTGGCCCCAACTGCCAGGAGGGTCTGGCTGTTATGCGTGAGGTCGGCGAAGCTACCGGCGTTCCTATTGAGGTGTTCGGCCCCGAGACGCACATCACGGCTGTCGTCCCCATGGCTCTAGGCCTTGTGGAGAAGCCCACGACGGTGGTCACGCAGCCCACTGCCAAGGCCATTGGTGGCTCCAAGTCGAGCTCGACCAAGGCTACTTCGGAGGAAGGTAGCGCTGCCAACAGCGACAACGAGGAGGCCGAGGCTGCTGATGACCTGGAGAGCAAGGGCGTCGCCAAGAAGCAGGAGCCTGTGGTGATCCAGGACGAGGGCATTGTGCGTATGAACGACAACACGCGTTGCATCGTCTACGGTCTGCAGCAGCGCGCCGTGCAGGGCATGCTCGACTTCGACTACCTGTGCAAGCGTAAGACTCCCAGTGTGGCGGCTCTGATCTTCCCGTTCTCGCCCAACCACTACCTCAAGTTCTACTGGGGCACTTCGGAGCGTCTGATCCCCGTGTACCAGAAGCTCTCGGATGCCGTCAAGAAGTTCCCGGACGTGAGCGTGCTCATCAACTTCTCGTCATTCCGTTCCGTGTACCAGTCCACCATGGAGGGCTTTGAGCACAGCGACACCCTCAAGACCCACGCCATCATTGCTGAGGGTGTGCCGGAGCAGCAGTCGCGTCTGATCTCGAAGAAGGCGCGCGAGCTCAACGTCGGCATCATCGGCCCTGCCACGGTTGGTGGCATCAAGCCTGGCTGTCTGCGTATCGGTAACACCGGTGGTATGCTGGACAACATCGTGCAGTCGAAGCTGTACCGCCCCGGTAGCGTGGCGTACGTGTCCAAATCTGGTGGCATGTCCAACGAGCTGAACAACATCGTCTCGCAGACAACCGACGGTGTGTACGAGGGTGTTGCCATCGGCGGTGACAAGTACCCGGGCTCCACGTTCATCCAGCACCTGCTGCGTTACGAGGCAAACCCGGATGTTAAGATGATGGTGCTTCTCGGCGAGGTCGGCGGCACTGACGAGTTCGCCGTGTGCCGTGCCATCCAGTCGGGTGCCATCAAGAAGCCAGTGGTTGCTTGGTGCATTGGTACGTGCGCTAAGATCTTCCCGTTCGAGGTGCAGTTCGGTCACGCCGGTGCCTGCGCTACGGGCGAGTCGGAGACTGCTTCGGCTAAGAACGCTGCTCTGGCTGCTGCCGGTGCCATCGTCCCGGAGAACTTCGACCAGTTCGGCAACGCTATCCGCAAGCAGTTCGAGTCGATGGTTGCGTCGGGTGCGATCGTGCCGCGTCCGGAGGTCCCGGTCCCGAAGGTGCCCATGGACTACGCCTGGGCCAAGAACCTTGGTCTTATCCGTAAGCCTGCTAACTTCATCTCGTCCATTTCGGACGACCGTGGTGAGGAGCTGCGTTACGCCGGTACGCCTATTTCGAAGGTGTTCGAGCAGGACATGGGCGTCGGCGGCGTTATCGGCCTGCTGTGGTTCAAGCGCAACCTGCCGCCCTACGCGTCCAAGTTCATTGAGATGGTGCTCATGGTCACGGCTGACCACGGTCCGGCCGTGTCGGGCGCCCACAACACGATCGTTACTGCCCGTGCCGGCAAGGATCTGATCTCGTCGCTGATCTCGGGTCTTGTGACGATTGGCCCCCGTTTCGGTGGTGCTCTGGATAAGGCTGCCGAGATGTTCGCGGGCGCGTTCGACTCGGGTATGTCCGCGGCCGACTTCGTTGTGGACATGCGCAGACAGAACAAGCTCATCATGGGTATTGGCCACCGCATCAAGTCGCTGTCGAACCCGGACAAGCGTGTGACTATCATCAAGGAGTTCGCCAAGGCCAACTTCCCGGCCACGGACGTGCTTGACTTCGCTCTGGAGGTGGAGCAGGTGACCACCAAGAAGCGTAGCAATCTGATCCTGAACGTCGACGGCTGCATTGCCGTCTGCTTCGTCGATCTGCTGCGTAACTGCGGTGTCTTCACACTGGAGGAGGCGAACGAGCAGATCGCGGACGGCTGCCTCAACGGCCTGTTCGTGCTTGGCCGCAGCATTGGTTTCATCGGCCACTTCCTCGACCAGAAGCGTCTCAAGCAGCCGCTGTACCGCCACCCGTGGGACGACATCTCGTACCTGAATGAGGAGTACTAGATGGACGTAAGCGAGAGCGGTTGTCTGTACACTTCCGCGAGTAGTAGATGCTAAGTAGTAAGCTTTGAAAAGTGTGTTCTCTTCATATCTACGCTCTGTCTTCTTGTTTTCTTTTTTCATCACGCACTTGCGGCTATAGGAAGCGTAGCGACAGTTGCATTGTTCTCTTCGGAAGAGTGTGAATGCAGTCGCTGAATGGCTTTCCGGATGCGCAGTCGGTGTGCAAACTTGGCAATTCCTACCTCGCTCATGGCCTGATCCACGTCGTCGTCGCTCTCTAGTTGCGCTAGATCTTCCAGCGTCAAGAAGCCATGTTCCTCCAACTGTTTTGCATACACGCAGTACTCCTCCGGTCGGGAGGCGTCGATCCCAGCGAGCCACTCACGCAACGGACCGCCGTCATAGCTTCCGTCGTCATCTTGGAGATCCAGCAGCACACTCTCCACTCCTGTCTTCTCTGGAGAAATGGCATCAGCTTGCGCAACAAGGTCGTCCCCGCTTAGCCGCTTCACAGCCTCTGCATCCAGTGTTTCGCTGCTCTTGGAGTGTTTCCTGGTCGTTTTGGTCGACTCTAGGATCTGATCCAGTGCCTTCTCCGTGTCGGAGGCCAGCGTCGTGAACGCCTCCTGCTTCTCAGGACTCGCTCTCTTCCAGTGTGGCGACGGGTTGCTCTTGGCACGCACGCGTTCCTGCATCTTGCGCTGTTTCCAGCGGGATGGTCGCGGTGGCTGGTCAGTGGTCATGGGTCCCCATCGCATGGCTGGCGTCTCCATCACTCGTCGCCGCAGCTCCATCATGGCTGCCTCGGAGAAGCGCTCATCCTCCGTCAGCAGCGCTTCTTTTTGCTCCTCGTTGAACTGCGAACGTCGTTGGCGGAGACGACTGAAACACGTGGTGAAGGCCGCTGCCACATTTGTAGCGGCCTCGCTTGCCACCTCACGCGGACTCAGTACGAACGGGAGACTCAGCGCCACCACCGTCTTGACGATCGCGCGCGCGCAGCCCGTAGGCACGTCACTTGCCGCGTCCATCGTAGCGAAGCGGGCGTCCATGGCTTTCAGATGTCACGTGCTTTGTGAGCTCTTGGAAAGTGAGCTTGACTTGCGTCGCTTCACAAAAGATCCAAGATTTTGTGGAAGGGTTACACATTTTTTGACGTAAAGCGTAGGTTGTGTAGATTTCCTCTTTAGACTGTATTCCAGGTTACCTTATCCTGTTTGCAACTTAGGCTTCGACGGAGATGGCGCGCCGTAATGAGGCCTTGACGGTGTTGTATTTGCAGCTGGTTGAAATCTTGATGTACTCTTTGCCGCTGTCGAGCACCACCGTGAGCCATTCCGGCACCATCGACTCGAGCAGGTATAACTGCTCCTCAATCTTGCCCTTGATCGGAGCTCGCACCGCAAGTCTGCGCACCACTTCCACCTTGGGGAAAATGGACTTCTTGGTGACAATCACGAGCGACTGCAGCTGGTCACTGAGCTGCGGCAGCGTGGCCAGCATCCGTTTCTTCAAGGCCTTCGCACTATTCTCCGCCACATCCTTGCGACTAGCTTCCTGCTTGCGGACCTTGTTGATAAGCCACTCTGGCAAAGATTTTAAATCCTGTGGCACAGGCTTTGCCAGCACCTCCTCCAGTTTTTCCTTGGCCTTGGTGCCTGTCACGTGATCTACCTGCTCTTTGCTAATCTTTTTCTCCAGTAACGCTGTGGTGCTCTCCTCACTCTCTATCTCCGCCGGAAGTTTAGGTAGTGGGGCCATCTCAATCTCCACGAGTTTCAGAGCGTTTTTCAACTCATCGTCTGTCATGTCTGGGAACTCCTTTTTAATGGCCTGAACATGACCTTCCAAGTAGGCGTTGGCTTTGCTAAAGAACAGAGTGATACGAGCCTCGAGGCTTTCGCAGTCCTCATTGGGAGGGGGCAGCTGTTGCTTGCGTAGTGTGAGCACTGGCGGCTGCTGCTGAAGGCGCTGGCGCTGCGCTTGAAGGGAATCTCCGCCTTCCTCCTGTGCTTGACGACGAGCAGTGCGTGTGTTCTTCTTCCACTCGAGCGCATAGGTGCCAGGCAACAGGTGCAGAATCTGCTGTAGATGTGTAGGCGTGAAGCTAAGTTGGCATGAGCTCTCCACGGCACGCTTGACAGCGGCGAAGTCGGGCGTGTGCTGATACAGTGTCAGGGCTCCGAGTCCGAACTCCAGAGCCGAGAACAGGCGAACGAGGACGCGTAGAGAAGGAGGAGCGCGCTTGTCCAGGCGTCGGGTAGAGCGTCGTAGCGACGACCCGCCATTCTCATCGGTCATTTTTGCTTTTTTTATGAATGACTACAGTTTTTGACAGTGAATATGTGTGCTGGGCTATTCGGCTGTACTAATTGCGGAGTGGCGTCCACACGACGCTGCTGTCTACCAATAGTATATTCGGATAGTCTTGAAGGTAGATGCAACAGTTAACTGGTGAACAAGAACTGTTCTCGGTGGTGCCTGGTTGCCAGCGGCTACGGTTTCCGCCTTTGTTCGCATGCGAGAATAAACTTGAAAAATGTAGCCTCTACTAATACTTCGACTATTCGCATGTACATGTCTTCCTCTCTGATCCTTCGCCATCAGCTCGATGCGCGTCGTGTGGATGCCAATGTCGATGTTGGAGAAAGAGTTGCTTTTTTTTGAAATTGAAGTGGGCGTTGTGTTTCGCTACATGACTGGACCATGACTTCTGACCAAAAGAGCGTCCTCGAGGGGACTCGAACCCCCAATCCCCGCCTTCGGAGGGCGATGCCTTATCCATTAGGCCACGCGGACACGACGACAAATCGAAGCCCCTAAATCTTGCGGAAACCTCGTGACCACCGATTTTGGATCGCGAGCCTGGCTATGACGAGCGACGAAAAAGACGCCATAACGGACAAGGGGGCGCGAAGGTTGCGTCAACGTACCGTAGACGATAGAATGCTACTCGAGGTATCTTGCATACTTAGTCATCATTTGACCCGCTTGTCTGGTCAAACACGCACGGTAGACATC